CTATCTGTTCTATATGTTTGAAACCATTCCTAAATAAAAAGTTTAAGAAGTTAAGAAAAAAAAGTCACTTATTGGGCTGGCCTAATGGTTCCCACTGGTTTGAGACATGCACATGAAATTTAACCAATAAACAAAATGAAATCTGTTTCTTGTAAAATCTGATTCTATGGGGAGCACTTCTTCTAGTTTCCTTCCAGTATGAATTTTATAGCATTTTAAGAAAATGATGTATTCTCATAACACTTACTCTCCTCCACTGTTTATGATGTCTGGTAAGATGTAACTTGTGGACAAAGACTTTTTGACATAAAACAACTCTGTAGTATGAGTAATTTATAATTAGTTCAAACTAAGAGAAGTCTTTCTCATTTTCAGGAAATACCGCACTCATGCACAAATACTGAAAACTGATTTCTGAATGAAGCTATTTCCACACAAAGTGCATTTATTTTGTCTACTTGCAGCAGAAATTTTATAACTTCCATGTGGGTTCTCCAGTCATTGCTTTTATAGGGTTCTCTCTCCAAAATGGGCTTCTGGGGAAAAATGAGCTTCTAACCTGTTATTTCTCTCATATGTGAATTTGCTGATGTTCAGAAAGTTAACTTTTCATGGGGTGCCTAGGTAGCTCAGTCGTTAAGCGTCTGCCTTTGGCTTAGGTCATGATCCCCACATCGGGCTCCCTGCCCTGCAGGAAGCCTGCTTCTCCCTCTCCCACTCCCTCTGCTTCTGTTCCCTCTCTCGGTCAGATGAATAAATAAAATCACTTAAAAAAACCCCGAAAGTTAACTTTTCAGTTTCAGGATGATTTTCTAGTTATTGTATTCATAAGGTTTCTCTCCAGCATGAATTCTCTGCTATGTGATGATATAATGATTTGTAAATGAAGCCCTACTCACTTTTAATAAGACAGAAAACTACTCTCTCCTATGAATTATCTGATGTACGATTAAATGTTGGTTTGAGTGAAAGTTTTCTTACATTTTCTGAATTCATAGAATGAGATTTAAAAATGTTTTTAAATTAATTTAAAGTAGATTTTTAATTTAAAAACTTAGATTGTAAAATTGCTTTTAGAAAGTTTTGCTGTGGGGTGCCTGGGTGGCTCAGTTGTTAAGCATCTGCCTTCAGCTCAGGTCAGGATCCTAGGGTCCTGGGATCGAGCCCCGCATTGGGCTCCCTGCTAGGCAGGAAGCCTGCTTCTCCCTCTCCCACTCCCCCTGCTTGTGTTCCTGCTTTCACTATCTCTCTGTCAAATAAATAAAAAAATCTTAAAAAAAAAAAAGGAGTTTTGCTGTAAATACAAAGGAACTGTATTACAGGAGTGGCATAAAAAGATACGTCTAATTCACACTACTCCCCCTGGTAAGGCCCTTACTGCACATGCCTTCAATCAATATCGACCTTAGAGTTCCAACTAAGTAAGATTCAACTCTCCCATTTCACCCATAACTGTCCATCATCCATTCCCCAATCAATCCCCAGTGCCCCTTCAAATATGTGGAGGCCCACAAAAGGAAGTCTTCCTTTGTCCTAGATGTTACTACCCTGTTGACAAAAGGTAATGCATCTTCTTTTTTTTAGCTTAGTAATGCAGAATTGTACTTTTTAAAATGTGCCTGGGGAAGTGCCTAGGTGGCTCAGTTGGTTAAGCATCTGCCTTCAGCTCAGGTCATGATCCCAGGGACCTGGGATGGAGCCTGCTCAGTGGGGAGTCTGCTTCTCCCTCTCCCTCTGCCCCTCCCCCTGCTCGTGCACTCTCTGTCTCTCTCTCTCAAAATAAATAAATAAAATATTTTAAAAAATAAAAAGTAAATAAAATGTGCCTGGGAATAAAAAGGTTGAGAATCACTATCTCAGTAATCCTTCTAAATTAATCTTTGAAATCCTTATTTTCAAACCCCTGTGCTCTTAGACCAGTCTTCATTAACTTCACTTCCTATTTATTATCCAAAGGACAAAAAACACACTATTAAAAAAGAAACATGAGAGTCTCTTAGTCAATCCTCTTTTGCTAAAGTTTGGCAGCTACCATAATAAAATTTGACACCACCAAAGGTAATTTTCTCTTATGTATCAAAGTTTACAAGATCTTTAACAAAACAGTAAGTGCCTTAACTTTTAGCAACAAAAAAGTGAGAATAGTGTCACAAATCAGAGCATTTTCATTTTTTAGTTTGAAAAGTTTTGGTAATTAAAAAAATATGTATTTCTGAACTCCACAGTCCTTAGAGAGGAACAGCTCTCAGTGCATTGAATCTGCTAATGACAGAGTAGGTTGTACAGACCAGTACTTTCTTTGAGAACTAAAAAGTCGAAGAAAATATTAAATATATTTAATTCTGTGATGGCACTGGAAAGCTACCAAGAAGTGAGAAACTACATGAGTAAGATTAGAGATAAGACATAACCTCTGGAATTTGGGGCTATTTATTAAAAAGAGGTGTTTGCTAATTTTTAAAGCAAATGCTGGCCAAGAAAGGTTAAGACAGTTTTTGACAAATTTATGGGACCTACTGGTACAAATACTAGAATTAAGTTCCTTCCCAGGATGAGGCACCTGGCAATCTCCCCAAGTCTACATCTCTAGGGTATCCCCTAGAAATAGGAGTGAAAATGCCAGCCAAGCCTTTATGGGGACTGGAGCCCAGTTTTACATACTCTCATTACATGACTGGATGAAGACAAACAAGGGTGTTCATGCTCTCGCCTAGTCACCTGTTAAGAGTCAAAGGCAAATCTCCTCTGGAAGAAAGTATCATCCAAACCATCTCAGTATCTCTACAATTTTTAATATATAGTGTCTGGTAGTTGATTTAAAATCATCAGGTCGGGGCGCCTGGGTGGCTCAGTCATTAAGCGTCTGCCTTCGGCTCAGGTCATGATCCCAGGGTCCTGGGATCGAGCCCCACATTGGGCTCCCTGCTCGGCAAGAAGCCTGCTTCTCCCTCTCCCACTCCCCCTGCTTGTGTTCCCTCTCTAGCTGTCTCTCTCTGTGTGTCAAATAAATAAATCTTAAAAAAAAATTTAAAAAAATAAAATCATCAGGTATAGGAGAAGACAATCATCACTAAAATCTGAAAGAACCAATGGAAAAAGGTTAATGGGATGTAAATAATGGGGTTATTTCTAGACAAAGCAAAGGAAGATTATGAAGCAGAAGCATACTTTGCATAGATAATAGCAAGAAATTTCACAAAATGTGAAGAAAAGAAAAACCCCACTAAGCTACAGATTTAAAAAACACTACAAACCCCAAATACATAGAAAATCACACCTAGGCATATCACTGTGCAATTGTTGGCAGCCTAAGACAAGACATGAATTTTGAAGGAACTAGAGAAAAAGGAAAAAAGCACATTACCTTCAAAGGTAATTACACTGAAAGCGTATTTTCCAACAAAACAGTGAAACACAAACCTTAACAAAATATATTCAAAATACTAATAGAAAATAACTGTCAACTTAGAATCCTGTATTTAGTAAAAATATCTTTCAAAAATGAAGGTAAAAGAAATTTTCCAAGAAACAAAAACAAAATTTGTCACTAGCAAGCACACACTAAAAGAAATGCTAAAGGGTCTTCTTCAGCCAGGATAAAAATGATTCTAGAGTGAAACTTAAAAGAAGGAATAAAAAAGGTAAGTACGCGGATTAATCTAGATGAATATTGACTCTGAGACACTAAAGACTGACCACTTACAAAATCCAAATGCATAACAGTAGTACCATGTAAGTCAATAGGGAAATAAAGGAGCTACTTTTGTAGCTTCTCACCTTGTCCAGAGTGGTGTGGATACTAATTTAAATCAGCCTTCAATAAAAAAATAAAAACAAAATAAAAACAAAAACAAAATCAGCCTTCAATAAGTGAAGTGTACATACAGTATTAACATCTGATGTAGTAAATTTTAAGGCAAAAAAAGCATCAGTAGCAATAAAAATGGACATTTCATAATGATTAAATTTCAATTAACCAGGAAGAGTATAATGATTCTAAATTTGAATGTATGTAAAAACAAAGACTCAAAATATATAAAACACAAAAGGGCTGATCTAAAGGAGAGACAAGTTCACAAATATTCTGGATGATAAAACACTTCTTTTAGAATCTGATGGAGTAAGTCTGGGAGAATAGAAAAGGTTTGAAAACACAGTAAGATTAATTTGTAGAGGGGCGCCTGGGTGGCTCAGTCGTTAAGCATCTGCCTTCGGCTCAGGTCATGATCCCAGGGTCCTGAGATCGAGCCCCACATCGGGCTCCCTGCTCGGCGGGAAGCCTGCTTCTCCCTCACCCACTCCCCTTGCTTGTGTTCCCTCTCTCGCAGTCTCTCTCTCTCTCTGTCAAATAAATAAGTAAAATCTTAAAAAAAAAAAAAGATTAATTTGTAGAGATTGGGAGGAGAAAGGAAGAGTACTCTTCCAATGTGCAACTCTGTTTTTTAAGAAGACAAACTCAAATGCAAACAGTAGTGTCCAGTGGTAACCTAGCATGTAGCATGTAATGACTATGCAGAGAATGTATTAACAAAATTGGAAGAAAAGAATTCTAGGTTTTGAAATCCATTTTCTTAATTGTTCCCCTTTCCCAAACAGAAATCAATAAAAAATACAGATTTCTGTGGATGAGGCTAAGAGTTCAAAGTGCTCACCTCTGTATCTGTGACCTGAGACTAAGTCCTTTGGTTTCAGGGCCAGTTCTAAGGTGATAGTAAGTAGTCTGCAAGGCTGCTGCTTACCTCACTGGTCACTTTGGGTATGGATACAAGCTGGGAAAACTTTATGCATCCCAGGTGTGAGTTATCTGGGCCACGGCAGGGAATTAATAAAAAAGGGAACATATTGGTTAACTAAAGAGGCCTGTGAATATTCAAGTAAGCCTGTGGATCTGATTTGCCAATCTCAAAATCAAATAAAAAAATGTTTATCCAAATTTCCTTTCCACATACTGATACTGTAAACAATAAATAACTGACTTCCTGAAGGAAAAAAAAAAAGAATCCTTTCTTTGTGTCTTTAATAATGTCAATTTTTACAAAAACTTTTGGCTTTTCTTCATTATAGACCTGAATTGTCCATACTTTTGCTTTCATTTCAGCATCCTTAAACAATTAAAAATTTTCTTAGCACTCTACTCATTAAGAAATTCCTTTGGTCAATATCAAATACAGCCCTGAATTTATAAAGCTGCTTATCCATAACATGAAACAAGATTGCCAAGTTCTCTCCTTGCATATTTACTATTATTTGCAGGGGATTGACAATCCCAGTATCTGTCCAGTAGTTAAGCATGGCCATCACACATTGCTTAAACACTTTCTTCAAAGTGTCTCCCTCACACATAAAACGACATCAGCTCTGTGATCCAGACATTCATACTTCTGACCAGACGTAAGGTGGCTTTGATTACCTCCTGCTTCTTAGTCAAGCTGTATCCTCTCACTACTTTGTATCCCCACACCACGATTGTGGCACTGGGCACTCTACTTCCCCAGAATCTGATTTCTGATGTATACTGAGCTGTGGTCTCCAGTTTAAGGCTTTCCTAAAGTCACTGCCTTTATAGGGTTTCTGTTTAGCATGAATTTTCTGGTGTTTAATAAGATTTGATCTGATGGTGAAGGCTTTTCCACACTCAGCACATATAAATGGTTTCTCTCCTGTGTGAATTCGATGATGTTCATGGAGTTGTGACTTCTTAATGAAGGCCTTCCCACAGTCACTGCATTCATAGGGTTTCTCTCCAGTATGAATTCTCCGATGCCGATTTAAATGTGATTTCTGGATGAAGGACTTCCCACATTCTGTACAAATATAGGGTTTCTCTCCTGTATGAATTCTCTGATGCATAATTAGTGTTGATTTTCTTGCAAAGGCTTTCCCACATTCACTGCACTCATAGTGTCTCTCTCCAGTATGAGACTGCTGATGTATATGGAGGCCTGACTTTCGAGTGAAGGCTTTTCCACAGTCACTACATTTATAGGGTTTCTCCCCAGTATGAATTTTCTGGTGTGTAAAGAGATTTGATCTGTCAGTGAAGGCCTTTCCACACTCAGCACATCTATAGGGTTTCTCTCCTGTGTGAATTTGCTGATGTACATGGAGTTGTGACTTCTTTGTGAAGGATTTCCCACAATCACTGCATTCATAAGGTTTCTCTCCAGTATGAATTCTCTCATGGGAAATAAAATGTGATTTGTGGAAGAAGGCCTTCCCACATTCAGTACAAACATAGGGTTTTTCTCCTCTGTGAATTCTCTGATGCATACTTAGTGTTGACTTTTGGATGAAGGCTTTCCCACACTCACTGCATTCATAATGTCTCTCTCCAGTGTGGCATTTCTGATGTATCCTGAGCCGTGACTTCCAGGTGAATGATTTTCCACAATCACTGCATTTATAGGGTTTCTCTCCAGTATGAATTTTTTGGTGTTTAATGAGATTTGACCTGTCAGTAAAGGCCTTTGCACATTCGGCACATATATAAGGTCTCTCTCCAGTATGAATTTTCTGGTGTATAATGAGATTTGTCTTGTGAGTGAAGACCTTCCCACATTCTGTACATATAAAGGGATTCTCTCCTGTGTGAATTCGCTGATGCACGTGGAGTTGTGACTTCTTTATAAAGGACTTTCCACAGTCACTGCATTCGTAAGGTTTCTCTCCAGTATGAATTCTCTCATGTGTAATAAAATGTGACTTCCGGATAAAGGCTTTCCCACATTCGGTACATACATAGGGTTTTTCTCCTGTATGAATTTTCTGATGCATACTTAGAGTTGATTTCCTTGTGAAGGCTTTTCCACATTCAGTACATTCAAAGTGTTTCTCTCCAGTATGGATTTTTTTATGTACACTGAAGTTTGAATTCTGAGAGACATTTTTCCCACATTTACTATATTCATAGGGTTTTTCTCCAATATGAATTCCTTGGCATCTGAACAGATCTGACTTCTGGATAAAAGCTTTTCCATATTCATTGCATTTACAGTGATTCTCCTCAGTGTAAGTTTTCTCATGATTTGACTTGAGAGACAAGTCCTTCTCATATTCAGTGCGTGTACAGGGTTTCCCTCCTACAAAAGCCTTCTGAGGTACAGCAAGTTGGGGCTTCTGAGTGAAGACTACCTCACATTTGCTGCATTCATGCTGTTTCTCTTCAGCACAAATACTTTGATGTGCAAAGAGGTGTGGCTTCTGGGTGAAAATTTTTACATAATCAGAAAATAAATTGAGATTCTCCTCAGTATGAATTTTTTGATGTTGAATGAGAGCTTGCTTATGACTCAGAAGTTTCTTACACTGGTTATATTCACAAGCATTCGTTTCTGTATGAGAATTCATATGAGTGAAAATATTACCATATCCAATAATCTTATCAGGATTTCCTCTTGCATTGTTTCTATAATCACATAAGCTTACAATAGGCTTCAAACTCCTTCCAAATGATTCATAGTTCTGGAGTCTTTTTCTTGCAGGAACAAGGTATGTGTTTACATGAGCAATTTTCCCACTGTCCTTATATTCACAGTCTCTCTCATTAAATAGTGCTCCCTTGTTGATAAAGGTAACTTGTGTTACACCTGTGTTCTGGTTTTCCTCACATCTCCCTCTCTGTTTATCATCTTGCCACAAATCTTCTAAAATGGAATATGGGTCATCTCCTGTAAAGAAATTAATTCTCTCAAACTGGTTTGAAACTTCTTCAGACATTCCCTGCTGTGAAGTTTCAAAACCAATATCCCCATCTAAAAAAGAAGGAAAAAATAAAACACACAAAGAACAGTTAAGAGAACATAGAAGGGATAATACATACAGTTGATTTAGGGTGAATAGAGAGAACTGAGAGGCTTTATATAAATATAACAAATATGTATAAAAATATATATGAATAGTAATAGATGTATATATAATGTATAGCAATAAAACAAATACTTGTCTTCCATTTACTAAATAATAAGCAGTAACATTTAGATGTGCCAGGCATTGTTCTAAGTTCTATAACTAACTCATTTAATCATCACAACCCACTGCTCTTGGTATCAGTATTGTCTCTATTTTACAGATGAGGAAATTCAGCCACAGAAGAGTCAGGTATTTGGGATGCCTGGGTGGCTCAGTTGTTAAGCGTCTGCCTTTGGCTCAGGTCATGATCCCAGGGTCCTGGGATCGAGCCCTGCATCAGGCTCCCTGCTCAGCGGGAAGCCTGCTTCTCCCTCTCCCACTCCCCCTGCTTGTGTTCCCTCTCTCACTGTCTCTCTCTCTGTCAAATAAATAAATAAAACCTCAAAAAAAAAAAAAGAAGAGTAAGGTATTTGCCCAAACCAAATGTTTGTTAATTGGAGAAGAGGAGATTCAAAGTGAAGCCACATCAGCTCTACGCGTGTAGCAGAACTACCTAGTAAGCTGTCAGAGGAACAAAGTGACAAACTGTGTGGCTTAAAAGAAGTATTTGAGTCTATATCCTTGTTATCCTTATTATTCTTGTTAATCCTTCATCCACTAATCTACTTTCTCTTTCCCTATTAATCACTCTGCCCTAAATACCAATGTATTTATGTAGAGTAAAACTATTTTTTTTAAGATTTATTTATTTGAGAGAGAGAGAAAGAGAGAGCACACACGTGAGCAGGGGTGGAGGGAGGAACAGAAGGGGAGGGAGAGGGACAAGCAGACTCCATGCTGAGCACAGAGCCTGAAGCGGGACTCGATTTCATGATGCCAGATCATGACCTGAGCTGAAATCAAGAGTCAGACGCTTAACCAACTGAACCACCCAGGTGCCCCTAGAGTAGAACTACTGTAGCTTCTGACTTAGCCAAGTGGCAAAAAATGTCTATGATTCAATTCTTTATTCTGGTTTGGGGTGCAGAGATATATGCACTCAACAGGAGGCATATAACAGGAGAAAGGAGCAGCTGTCTGAAGCAGGGCCTGAGAGCCTTCCATCAGAACCTCTCCTCTCCCTTCAGCAGTATGAAGCTGGTAGCCAAGTTCATGGCTGCCCCCAAACAACAGCCTCATTTATGGTGAGGTGAAGCCAAGTAATTCAGTTCTTACCAGTCAAATGGGAGTAAAAATTATGTTGTGTGACAAAGCCCATGTCTTAAGAATGTAGGCATGTCTCCACAACCCTCTTCTCTTTCCACTGACTGTATTCCAGACTAGTGGCATCCAGCTCTGTGGCTGGTAATGCCCTAGGCACAGGTTGGAAAACTATGGCCCTCAGACTAAATCCAGGCCTCCACCCAAAAGCTAGAAATGGATTTTACATTTTTGAATGGTCAGAAAAAAAAAAATCAGAAGAATAATTACATGACACATGAAAAACATATGAGATTCAAATTTCTGTGTGCATAAAGTTTTTATTGGAACAGAGATACACTCATTCATTGATGTAGTACCTCTAGCTCCTTGGGGCTAAAACAGCAAAATTGAGTAGTAATGACAGCAATCATATGGCTCACAAAGCCTAAAATAATGACTTCTGGGCCTTTACAGAAAATGTTTGCCAACCTCTGCTCTCAGGGATGGCCGTGCAATGACTTGGGAACTGTCATGTGATACAGGGTCAATGTTTATGTTCTCTGAGTCACTGTTTCTTGGGTTCTCTTAGTGACAGGAGCTTGCTGTCCCCAATACACCATTCTTGCCCAGAATAAGATCATTAATATTCCAAATTCTGGAAGAGCACATAAAACATAGTAGATTCTCAGTAAATATTTACATAAAAATAGATACTATTACCTTATTCTACTAGAATTCTTGAATATAGACACAGTCTAACCTAATATCCATTTCATTTTGCCTCCAGGGCCTTATCATGCTCGCAGACATATTTTTTTTACTCACACACATTAACAGCTTTTATTAATCCTGAGAACATCTAATACTGGATTCCTAAACATGGATTTTGACATTTTGCAATCTTTCACTTTCTTTAGCTTACAAACCCATTGTTACATCTGACAACATTTATATTACTACCAACAGTGTTCAGTGTAAAAATCTGCTCCTGTGCTAAAAAGTTTATTTATATGCAATTCCTGTCACCACTGACTCAACTGCTCATTCAGTAAAATACAGGGTCATAATTTCAGGCCAATAAAATGTGTATACGCAAGCTATCTTTCCACTAGTCACTAAAGTCTCTTTTACTACTAAATCCACACATATACAGTTGACCCTTGAACAACACAGGTTTGCACTGCATGTGTCCACTTATATGTGGATTTTTTTCAATAAACACAGTATAGTACTGTAAATTTATTTTCTGTATGATTTTCTTAATGACGTTTTCTTTTCTCTAGCTTAGTCCTAAGAATACTGCATGTAATGTATCTAACATACAAAATATGTGTTAAATGACTGCTTATGTTCTCGATAAGGCTTCTGGTCAACAGCAGGCTGTTAGTAGTTAGGTTTTGGGATAGTCAAAGTTATATGTGGATTCATGATTGCATGAGGGGTTGGCGCCCCAGACCCCCACATCATCCATGGGTCAACTATATTCTTTTCCCCATTCAGCTTTTTTTTCTGATCCTCTGTTCCTTTCAAAATTCATTGTTCTTTCACAGATCATCTAGGGGTCTCTCTTTTCTTTAACTTAAAATAACGACAAAGACCAGATATTCTGAGTCATTCATATTCAGTTGGCACAGATGTGCACCGTAAACACTGCTTAATGCACAAAGACTGACATTTTAAACATTTCATGCAGTTCTTTTCCCTTTCCAATTACAATTATTGGCCCTTTGAGTTGCTCCTAGCAGAAAAAAAAAATTTAATCCCTCTGAAAGAGAAAAATAACCTCTGCCTATCACATAAACTCAAGAATTTAATTTTGCTAAATATTCTCTACAGAAACATTAATTAAAAAAACAGGGGCAGAAGACTCAGTTATCAAATAATTTAATGTAGTTTTGTCTGAGTTTCTGTGGACCATTGAATTAGAAAAGGAAAAAGCCATGTGTGCCTATGTATATAATGGTCAGGTCCACTCAAGAGGTAAGTGAAGCCTAAGCACAAAGAGTAAGTATATGAATAAACAGACAGATCCCAAAATAATTAAATGGTCAGATGTAGGGGAATCATTAAAAAACATTAAAACAAAGTAAACATAATTATGGACACTAAACAGAGACAATGTGAACTGCAAATATGAGGCATATTCTTTCTTTAGTTTACAAACCCACTGAGAACAATTTTTCATGTGTTAGGTAACAGGCAGTACTTTAGTTTGGTTCCATATAGCTATAAACATGGTGTTTTAAGCAATGTAATCTATTAGTAGCACCCAGATATATTAGTAAAAAAAAAAGCGGGGGGAGGGATTAGCACATCCAAATAGGGTTAGAATAACCTAAAGGCATGAGAAAATATAGACAGTTATTGAGTAATAACACTGGAAAGTAAGAAGAGGAGGGCATCTAAATGGTATTTTCTAGAAGACAAAAGTTATTAGAAAGGACAGAAAGAATTATTTGAAAAGATGAGTCACAGGGAAAGTCAAAAACCACAACAGAACATGACAAAATTTTGAAAGGGGAGCCATCTGCTTTTACATGCTGCACTGTCCCAGCTCTTCCTTCACACAACTGGCCACCCAATGGGCCCTTATATGCAAAAGTATCAGTCGCTACCCTGAGTAGTCTATACAACAGCCAAAGCCTGCTTGAGACACACAACTAACAGGGACAGCATAAAATTCGTTTCCCTGAGCCAAGCCTAATATTAGTCACAACTTATGCAGGAATTGAGACACTTGGATCAATCTGAGACACACATCCGTCCCTAAATGCCAGTTTTAACTTTCAACCTGGGTTGGTTACATATATGACAGAGGCTTACAGGACTCAGCAAATGTAGCATAAAGCAGCACAGCTCAAAGTATGTAGTTGCCAGCAGGCAGGAGAGCCTGATAGCAAGAGAAGAAAAAGACCCCTGTGGTGGTAGGGATCATCTAGACATCCTGCTCACTGAACCAACCGTTAAGTTGTCTGTAGAGGAAGAATGGATCCCCACCCCAAATTTGGTTCAGATGTCAAGAGTCACACCAATAAGGTATGAAAAAGTTCATTACTCAGCAATGAAACTTTCAACAGAGAGCTCCGAAGCAGGTTCAAAGTGGCTTGAGAGAGCAAGAAAAGGAGATGGATTGTTTTTTTATGGTGGTTGGGCAGTGGGGCCAGGCTGACTGCTCCTATGCAGCTTCCCACCAGCACCATGGGAGGGAGCACCTGGCTTTCTTATCAGTTCGCCCAGATGTGGGACTGACAGCAAGGAGAGAGGGGTGAGGCTTAGAGGGTGTCAAACATCAAAAATGAAGTCAGATGTGACACCTAAAGCACAAGCCACAAAACCAAAATCAACAAGCGGAACTATCTGAAACTAAAAAGCTTCTGCAAGAGTAAAAGAAACGAACAACAAAATGAAAGGAAAACATATGGAATGGAGGAAGATATTTACAAACCATGTATCTGATAAGAAGTTAATATCCAAAATATATATAAAAAAACCCTCATATAACTAAAGAGCAAAAAACCAAATAACCCAATTAAAAAATGGGCAAAGAACAAGAATTCTCTATCTAGCAAGGCTATCATTCAGAATAGAAGGAGAAATAGTTTCCTAGACAAACAAAAACTGGAGGAGTTTGTGACCATGAAACCAGCCCTGCAAGAAATATTAAAGGGGACTCCGAGTGGAAAAAAGAGACCAAAAGTGACAAAGACTAGAAAGGAACAGA